ATATTTAAATATACTTTAAGTAGGTTATTTTTTAGGAGGGTCTGGTCTTCAGCTTCGCTGATATCTTCTGCAATCCATAGGTCTCGCAGATGTCGCTTGAAAGGAGCCATGATGGAGACGTCCAAGGGTTGGCAGTGCGATGTTGCATTCGCAGGTAAAGGCACTACATTAAACCCAACCACTTGGGAAGTCTCCAGTGCCTCCTTGCTGATGTGGCACTCGAAGTTGTCAAGGATCAGCAGTGACTCGCCTTCGGACCGCTCGCCAAGCACGTTCCAAAGGTACCATAAATATAACGGTATTCCCATACCGATGCGTCCATACAGCCTTCTTCTGGAATGCGTAGTAGTGGCCGCTTGGGTATGTCTTGAACTCGGACTTCTCGATCAGCCCGCCGGGCTCGCCCTTGATGATGAACAAGATTGGGAGCTTGAGGCCGTCGCGACGAATCGTAAGGACAGCCGTCATTCGGTAGGAATGCTTTTCACCCTTGGAGAGCTTTGTATTCCCACCTTTCTTTGCCCATATATACCGTGGCGGTATGTCGAACTGAATTCCGGTATCGTCCACGTTGTAGACGCAGTTGTCCGCCACGGATCCGTGTGTTACATGGAATGTACGAGCAAATGCCGCCCGAGTACTTTCAAGGTAGGTGATCACGCGCTTCGACATGCAGGCTTGTTGGTGGGTGTACCCATTCCGTTTGGCAAAACTGCTGGATTAATTTAACATTGTAAGTAGATGATGATACCCTCGTCCCGTCTTTTGACGTGCTATGTACGCCTGGATCCAATCTTTGTGGTTGAGCTTGAGATATGTTATCATGTGCGTGCATGTGAGAGCACGTTCTTGGGCTCGTCGGGCATCCATGAACGCTAGGAGCCCTTGTGGGACAGGCAGAATGGTCGGACGACCAGCACCAGGAAGATTAGGTCACTTCTTGTTTCCTTTGAAGTCCAGGAGCTGTGATGAGACACGACTCCAGTTGCGCACAACGCTGAGGGGTACTGAGAGCTCTGCCGCAACCTGGCGGAAGGAAATGAACTGAAGGAGCGCGAGGGCCAAGAGCTCGAACGAAATTGGGTAGGTTTGCCTTCGGCTGCGTGATGCAGCACGATTGGCGGCACTGTCGTCTTCTGCGTCGTCGGTTGGCATCAGCAGATTGAAAGTGGGGTGGCCATTGACATCGACGATGTCGATAAATTCGCGGTATTTTTTTCCCATGGCGCGAATATTATTTCAACAAATAAGTAGGCTCCAAACTCATTATCTCCAGCCATTGGTTAACATTTTGATTACCTAAGGCCAAACTTCGACGTGGCTTAAATTCCATCGTTGTCTGTACACAGAATCCTTCTGGAACTTTTCGTGGTTGTCGAGTATCAGGTGGAACCTGTGTGATGTTTTCTTGCCGTCAACTTCGAGTTCCTGGCAAGAGAACCCAGGAACTTAAAGCAAGTTGCACGCGAGCACCCCCCAAGACTTCATGACTAGATGTTGGAGGAAACGTAGCTCGTGGTTGGCCTGTATCAACAGCGCCAAGTCATCCTCGCTTGTCCACCTGCTCATAGCACACGAAACCACCGAATGGAACCCCTCCTGTTCGGATAACCTCTATTTCTTATGATTATCCAATTCCGTGATAGCTACTTGCTCTTTCATGGATTATAAAGTGTCATGAGTTTCCGTGATTGTACTAAATACTGAGGGTAATTATTGCGGAAACGGACACGGATTGCTTCGCGAAATCTCCCTAATATGAGCTACTTGACACACTAACATTTCGTGTGCTACGTAGGGGGCTGCCTTGTAGCCTGTGTTGGGGACTACGTTGTGAAGTGCTTTGAGGGCTGTACTCGGGACCACCATATTACAGGCTACAATGCCGGTTGCTTTCGGGGCTGTGTTGGGGGCTGCTTTGGTGGCTGTGTTGGCTGTTGCACGGCCGCTCTCATGGGGGCTTTGATGGTTGTATCGTCAGCTGTGAGAGGTGGTACTGTGTTTGTTGTTAATCGTGTGGGTATTTCTTTGCTGCAAAACAATGGAGTCGTCATGTCTTGTGACGAGTTTTCGTGGCATCGGACGTGCTGCCGATTTATCTATTCCATTGAATTTAATCGCCATCATACATTTTCAATTTGTGGCTGAGTACGTTGTAGCGCCATTGGTGATGAAATGTATGATGGGTATGTTGGCCATGGCTCATGGTCTCTACAGAGTTTTCTCACCGCACATTGCATAAAGTGTCGATATACCTTGTAACGTGATCGACCAGTGATGTGTCGATTTTTTTCTTTTTTTCTTTCGTATATTCCTCGTCAAGTATTTATCCTTTAGCGATGTGGTAGACATTGGAAGTGTCCTATCAAGAGGGACGAGGAAAGAACCAAACGTAGATAAGTGGTACAGTATGTAGAACGTACTAGTACCGGTAGATGAGTGAGGAAAACGTAGGCGAGCGGTGGAATAGTGCCGAACGTAAACCAGCCAACAAGTACATCTTATCCCTGTGTTTGTCGACCTCGTCAAAGCGGCCATGGTTGTACGTCGGCACGATGCACACTACAGTATATGGGGATGGTGCAAGGTCACAAACTGCACGCATTACACCTACTACAGGATTACACCTACTACAGGGTTGTTGATATGCGTAAACATTGGGAGGTGTGCACTACAGTATGTGTAGGTGGTCCAGAAGAGCTGCAACAACAAACAGCGGTAGTTCTGCTTACCGGTATTCCCCGAAGGATTTTCAGGGAAATTGTATTTGAAAATTCGTGTGGATAATCACTCTACTGGTAATAGGCTTTGGGTAGGACTGTCTGAACGGTGCTCTCAGGGTGTCGTCAGTGTACCGCGTTCGAGGCGGCATTTGGATGTCAATTCAAACTCGAAAACCTTTTAAATATAATAATGTTTCCCACCATAAACTTTTACAAGATTATTGGCATGAGAGGTTCTGTTTTGTCCAATAACACAGCTCGAACGATTTAATTGGATGAAATACACGGCACATCACTGAACATTCGGCACAACACTGGTCGGTCACGTTACTTGAGATGTAGCATATAGTGTAGTCAGTGGGGGGTCGCTCTTGCCGTGAAAAATAATATGTGTGCGTTTGTCGCAAGCAACGAGGCTATATTCGTTGACATACAGACCTTGTTGTCCATACTGAGCCATCCCCACTTAGTGTCAGCACGTACGAAATGTAGTGACCTGAAGTCAGTGAACTCCCCAGATGAAGGACAACTCTTCGAAGCTGGTACACATATCCTACGCAACATAGTAATCTATCGATCGCGGTGGTTTAAATTGTACCGCGTGATCCACAGTGGCAAACTCACTCATGTTCAGCTCTGATGTGTATTGGATGGACTGGTCGTTCTTTTTCATGGTGTTTTTGTCGCCGACCGCGAAACGTAGGACATGCAGCACTAATACATGGGAGCACACTGCAATCGCACTTGTACGCACAGCCGGGCATCGGTGATTGTAATAGGTGCACTCGTATGAGTCATCACCCGTGAACGCGGTGACACTAAACGCTCTACTTATGCCGTCGTCAACAGTGACAACCTCTAGAGTGATTGGAATGTCGATGTCGAGAAACACCTCTGACGATCTACAGTACGAGATTAATATTCTAATGATCATTTGCACTACCTGGCTTGGGTGTTCCAAGTATTACATTCAGCGATGCTGAACACTTCGCCATCGAAAGATGGTAGACACATGGGCATGGCTGACAGGAACTGAAAAAGAACACGTGCGTGCCTTCTTAAGGCCCCGCACCAACGACAGCGAGACGTCAGTTAGGTGACTGTGCAACTCGTCCATTCGATACCTATTTGGCCACGTCTTGCGGCATTTCATTGGATGTTCGCGTGGATGTCATGAACGATCCTGTTCAGGCAGTCTTGGGTTAGATGTTTGACGCCGACGTGAGTGAAATGTTTGACGCCGACAAATGAAGGTAACGCGTCAACGAGTGTTGACGAGTGTATCGGTTACGGTGGTGGGATCATGGACAACGACGATCAAGTATCCAAAGCAAATACAACGAGAGTGCCCGAAAGGAAGGAGCGCTGTGCAACAACAGCACCCAAAGGAAAACGGTTTAAAGCCGGGCCAACGAAGTTCGACAGCGAGTACCGAGCTAAAGTAATGAATGTCCTTCAGTCAAGCAATGGTTGACAAGTGTGTCACCGTCAACACGAAGAAAGAGAACTACTCAAACTGGTGTAAGCCAAGACAATCCAGAGTACGCCCACGATCCACAATTGACGCGGTTTGAGTGGCTTCCCGAAGCCATTTGCTGTTTTTGGGTCAGCTCATGCTGCCGGACGATGCGGGAAACTCACCCTCCATGAACGTTGCCAACAAGGCTCGAGCAGGAGTATCGGAGTTCTATAAGTACAACAACGATGGATATGGAACCAGTTCGTGATGTGTCAATGACGATCAGGGACATGGAAATCCTCCGAGGAAAAGAAGCCGACTCACGTAACGCGATGCGCGGTCCCCATGACAAAACCGATGCTGAAGACTATGTACGCTTTCTTGGACGATTCCAACGACATATCGAAATTATTCACTCTGTGGTTTAAGGCTGTCACTTCTCTGAGCTGGTACACGTGTGCCAGAATGAGTGAAGTCCTTGGTCTATACGGGAAGGACTGTTTTCTTGCGAAGTCCACTACTAGTCAACAAGACCCCGACGTGCGTCTCGAGTGCACCTTCCACGACCGAAAACCCGAGTCGGGAAACGACCGCACATATCCTTTGCACCATTGTCAAGAGCTGTGGGATCGTGATATTTGTGCCAAGCACCACTTCGACAAGTCGACCGAACACGTCCAAACTGCAATGAAGCACAGCTTCGACGAGGATCTTGTGTTCCCCCAAATGACGTTGTTACGAAAGTACTCAAACTTGTCTGCGTCCGTATGCAACTGTCATGCCATGTCGGAGGGATATGTCATCAATATCTTGAACGAAGTTATCGCGACCATGCTCCGTGACGTCGCCTTTTGCTTGACGCCCACGGTGCAGTGCTGAAATGCTTCGAAATCGTATACATGACAACGCATACGTTCCGTCATGGTCACAATGGAAATTCTTTCACGAGGACAAAAACTAGCGTTAGAGTTTGAAGATGTTGAAGTGGTGGGGTGGTTAGTCGGAGCAAGACAAGTGCGATGCCATTATGAAATACCCTCTCGATAGGATTTATGTTGCCGAAAAAGAAGTGCTCGCTGATGCGATGTCCCCGGACCGGAAGCACTTAACCGGCTGCCCGACCACGTGGATCTACAAAACTCATGAACATCTCTCGGAACTGGTTGCACCTAACGACGGGGGGCAATTAGCTATGGCGAGCGTGTACAAGTCGTACCTCGAGGGCATAGAAGCTCGTGTCATGGCCCGAATCAACGACATGGAAGCACGCCTTCTTGATCGTTTTGGCCCCCCGACCAACCTCCCTCTTCACCTTGAACCACGCTCTGATCCTTCGAGGGGCCCAAACGTCCAGATTGGACCCACTAGTAACGATCCAGTCTTGGAAGCACGTGCCATGGTACGTATTAGCAACATGCAAGCACGCCTGCTTGGTCATTTTTCCCCCAAGGAACCTCCCTGTTCACCTCGAACCACGCTCAGACCCACCCAGTAACTGCCATGTCATGGTTGGACCGGATTTCCTATGCTGCAGATTATCATCTGTGCTTCCAAAAGCGACAAGTTGGAAAATGCTGCATCGATTTTATCTTTCTTGCATCGCCGACATAGCACCTATTCAAGCCTGTGGTGCAGTTTACGATCGAAGACAAAAATAGTACGAGAAAATTGTGACGGCACATGAGGTGATTATGATGTTGTATGGACGGGTAGACGCGATTACGTCGGTTGAACTCGCAGTGACGCTATGCAAGAAGGTAGTCACAGCCCTCACAGCTGGCGACGTCGAAGTTTTTGCATGCCTTGGCGACTTTGCACCCACGCTTTAGAATCGTAAAGTAGTCGAGAAGACTTTAATACATCAACTTCTTTAATGTGGTCTTACCTGTTATTGATGTGATGATGTAGTATAAATGTCTCAATGGCGCGGAATGGTGTAAATAACTGCTGGATGTCTATCGACTCATTTGGAGCCTAAATACGATTACAACTGAGAGTACACTGCCCATTTCACTTCCATCGGGAGATGGCAAGGACACTGAGACCCATCAATGAAGGAAGATGAGCTGTCAGTGTATTGATTATGGCCTGCGGCGATTGGGCACAATGGCGAAACACTCTAAAAGGCAATGCTCTTCTGTGCTGATGTTCCTCAGATACATTGGATTGTGGATATATGTTTACGTACAATGCAAAAGGTAAAAAGTGATTTGAAACTCGATTTATGTACTGTATTCATTTGTATTCCATTACTATTAATAGGATACTTCATTCCCAAATATACCTGGTAACCTACAAGTGGCTCACTGCGCCCCAGAGAGTTTTGAGCACAACGAGAAGCACCAGGTTCATGCGAAAGCGCGGCGTTCACTCCTCACCCCGTCAATCCCATCATCATGTAACACCCAATCATGGCCACGCCATGCACCGGCCGTACACGGGTCATCGCGCACCCCAATTCTTCCCACGGGACCACCTTGTAATAGACGACGAGCTCAGCCGCTGGGAATATCACCGAAGCCACATGGATAGCATCACCGCGTTGCTATGTTTCCCTCTCCTATCACCTCCCTGGGGGCCTTACTACTCATGTCTCCATCAGCTCCATCATATCAAGGCTACCCAGACCACACAGGGACCAATTGCACTGAGACCACGCGACACCTGGACCAGTCCATTCGAGCACCGGTGCCCCAATTATGCAAAGAATCAGGGGCCGCCCAAAGTTGCACTCACACCGAAGGTGCACCCACGCCCAAGGTTACACCCACACCCACTCCCACGTCCGGCCCGTGTCACACTGCCGAATTGCTTGCACGTTTCCATGCTCCATCCGCATACCATCACCTCCCAGCATCATCCCTTCCACCGCCATACACTGCTGCCCCAGGTCGTTTCCTGTTCACGTCGCCAGACGAACCACAACGTCCAAGAAAGTCAGCCAAGTCGACGCTACCGTCATGCCCACCGCCTGGGCCAACAATGACGCCAATTCCATTCGTTCTGCCCAACTTGGGCGATACAGCTACGCATATCATCGTCCGAGTTTCTTTTCACCTACCCAAAGGATGTGTCAAACCAGCACCCCACTGCTTCGTTAAAAAAAACCGCGCTTTAAAAGCAAACACGCCAGCATGGAAGTGCCCTCTCAACACCACATTGGGCGCAATCACAACAGCGCCGGTACTGACACGACGCAATAATTTTCCGTTCCAAATTCGTCATTGGGTCATCCCCCAGCCGTACACTGTCAAGACCGCGATTCTCCAGTTACCTACGTTAGGTTGTACGCCAAGTACTTAGAAGATGGTAGAAGAGAAAGTCAATTAAGTGTGCTTAGCAAACGTCTCTTCAACTAAACACCCATTTAGTAAACGTTGACGCTTCGCTTGTGTCTTCTTCTTTGTTCCAGGCTAGCCCTCTGGGCTAGCATGGCACGCGTACCATTGACAAGTCACTTGCCACGCCCAACTACACCACGACAACACAAAGCTGTCGCCGTTAGTCAGCGCCAAGTCCCCGAGGACTTCGAGTGCCCCCAGGCACGCAATGACCTTGCCACGCTCAACTACGTCTCGTCAGCCCGAAGCCGCCGTCCATAGGTAGACATTTCTTGGGTCCCTCTGAACGACACCATCCGGCCTACGAGCACCCCAAGGCACACAGTACCGTCCGGACGGTTTCAGCCGTTCGTTCTCCCACGCGTCCACAACAACGAAGCTCCACCCCCGGGTGGAGTACACCTCCACTTCCATCACTCACTTCCCCAGTGGTTTCTTCCATTGCCGACGGCTTCGGCGAATTCCGCACCAATCGGCTTGCTGCCGGGTGCCGTCCAAGTGCTCACGCAGCGCTCGTGCGTGTTCTGGGCGTTGTCTTGCGCTGCTCCTCGTCTTGCCCAGTTCCTCGCCGCCGGGTTTCAAGCCTAGGACCTGACACAAGGAGCCCACAGCTCCATCATCGATGTCGTTTGGCGGTGTTCGTTGTCCAAAAAGATGGTCAGCCTCATCTTCCTCGCCCTCGCTCACAGTATCCAACACGACAGCCATGTGAAGCTCGCCGTCGTCGAAGTACGGCAGGCACTCGCCTGAGTGGACGAGAAGTGAAGTCCCATTGTCCCGACACAATTGTCGAAGCCAGCGTTCTCGACAAGTCGCGCGGGTCCGCGGAACCGATGCTTCAGTTTGCTGGTGCCCTTGTCGCGGCTGACGCGTGCGATCCAAACCCACATACCCGGTCGGAGTTTCACCCGGTCAAGTGCACCCTTGTTGTAGTGTCGTGCCGTCTCTTCCTGTGCAGGGGCCAAGGTCGATTTGGCGATTGCACAGATCCGTGTGAGTTTGGCCACGAACCGCCGATTCCAGACGGGTATTGATTCTACGATTGGTGCCGCGGGGAATTGCAGGTCGAGTACGGACTTGCCCACGCAGCCCATCATCAATTCCATGAGTGGAAACCCGTGGGTGCCATGGGTCGCTGTGCTGTAGGCGTATGTGAGCGTGGCCAACCACTCGTCCCAGTCGTTCTGCGTCGGAGACACATCGATGGCGACCATGTCCTTGATGGTGCGGTTGAACCTCTCCACCAACCCCATCATT